TGGGATCAAAGGTGTGTGCCACCACCGCCCGGCTAGAGGATGCATTTCTAAGGGTTGCTTCCATTCAATCAATGCTTTAGTCTCACAGCCCCAGCTTCAGGACACAAGAGCTCAGCTGCTCCAGTTGCTGGATGCAGGGTCACTGGTTCAAGCATTGTCATATTATCTAATGCAGCCCAATCAGAACCCTGCCACAGGACCTGTCCAGCTGATCCATGCTAGCTGGAAGACCGAACATCTGGTGCTGATGGGATAAACACAGTGTGAGGGATGAGTCTGACCCTGAAGGCTAAGAGAGACTGTGAGACCGCAGCTGTTCTGAGGCCTGATTCTGGCCTCTGCCTGCTCCACCTGCCCTTCTAGTTCATGAGCCAAGAAGCAGCCCTGGCCCCTCCTCCCCCGGAAGCTGGGTGCGAGTGGTTTTGTACCGCTCAACCAGCAACCCCAAAGAATGCTATCTCTTATAAGCCAGGAGGAGAACAGATGTTCTGAGACCCAGGTCCCCTTCCACCTAAGGAAAGGGCTCTACCCCCTTGGGACTGGACTAGGCCTTCTGGATAGGCAAGACAGTTGTTTAGCTTGAACTGTTAGGGGGCCCTCAGGCAGTGGGATCAGGATCTGTCCCTGGTGCATGAGCCGCTCTTTGGAGCCCATTGTCTAGGGTGGAACACCTTGTGCAGCCTTGGTGCAGGGGGAAGGGGCTTGGACCTGCCTCTACTGAGTGTACCAGGCTCTGCTGACTCCCCATGGGAGACCTTGCCTTGGAGGAGGTGGGAATGGGGGGGTGGGTTGGGGAGGAAGGCTGGGGGGCGGGAGGAGGGAGGAGAGGGGAATCTGTGGCTGGTATGCAAAATGAATAGAAAATTACTTAATAATAATTTTAAAAAACAATTAAAAGGGCTCTAATGTCAGGGCACAGAAACTAAAAAACAAGAACATTGGGCTGAGGCTCCCTTTTTAACTCACGGGCCTGTGACTTGGCACAAGCCACAGCCACTCTGAGCCTCAGGCCCCTCATCTATAAAGGGGACAATCGTATTTCCTCTGAATGGTTAGTGTGAGACTGAAATTCAATAGTCTGGCCACATCTTCTCTCTGTGAGTTGTAGCAGTTATTAGGACTTTCTCCCTTGGCCCCAACCGCCAAGCTTTTCTTTTCTCTTCCACTAGAACATCCGGCATTGAGTGGGACAAAGTGGTCTGTAATAACCCTGAATTGCTTCAGAGTCTGTGGTCGGCCCAGGGATAAGAAGCCTTGGGCCTTGCTGCAGGAGCTAGAGAGGAGAACCCTTGAATCTGGCATGGTGTTGCATGCCTGTGATGCCAGCATTTCACAGGGACAGGAGAAGGGTCATGAATTTAAATTCATACTCAGCTCTGGGATGAGGTCAAGGCCAACCTGGGCTACATGAGACCCTATCCCAGCACTCGGGAGGCAGAGGCAGGCAGATCTCTGAGAGTTTGAGGCCAGCCTGGTCTACAGAGTGAGTTCTAGGACAGCCAGGCCTACACAGAGAAACCCTGTCTTGAAAAACAAACAAACAAAGAAAGGTAGTTCAGCCCTTGTTTTAGACCACAGGGAAGTGACTCCAGGGCCACACAGTCACGGGGACATGGATTCCTAGCGAGCACAGAGGGACTTCCCAGGACCGTTCCAGATTCATCACTTGTTTACTTCACTCATTCAGCAAACAGCAGAGGCCCTGGACATGGCTGTGTGAGGCTTAAGGCTGAATGGAGGATGCAAAGTAAGACGAAGCCTTGTCCTCAAACGGTAAATACTCTTGGGACAGCAAAGTGGAACTGAGGGACAAATGACGTCTGTTGTCCCTACCCTGGCAATCCTAGGCTTCAGTGCATTTTCTTGGCTGGGCCTCTTCCCAGCACACACACAATAGATCTCCAGGGCAAATCTGCCCAGGGTCAGGTAGTCTCTAGGAACCTGGGACACCTTTCCTGGTGGCACTGGCATCATTCAAACTCTTTGGACAGGCTGGATCTTCCTCAAAGGGTCACTGGCACAACAGACACTGAGCTCCAAGGAAAGCGGTAAGAGGTCAGGGTTCAGGCCCAGAAGAAAGGCCTTGACTTTATTTGGCTCTACACGAGCCCACAAGTCTATAGTCGAGGCTGGAAGCGCCCTGGGTCCAACATCCCCAGCAGAGTAGAGAGGCTCTGGGAACAGCGACCAAAGTAAGAATTAAAGGCAGAAGCTTCAGAACCTACCGACATGGTCTGTGCAACCCCTCCATGGGTTTAGCGGTCTAGACAGGCCACAGTGATTCATCTCCTTGTTACTATGGCATCAGAGGCAGAAAACTGGGGCCAGCTGTCACTCACTCTGCCTGGCTTTTGGAAATGCGTCTGGAGTGAGCTTCAGGGTCTCTAGACAGTCTGGCTGTAAAGCAGACTACACTAAAGGGGGACTGTGCTCAAGTACTCACTAACCAAGGCATTTCAGAGGCTTGGCCAGGTTACCGGAGAGAAAAGAAATATAATCACAACTCCATCCAGAACAGTGGGGGGGAGGGGCACATCAGCAATGTCTCCAGCATGAGCTGCTCTGTTTTGAACTAGGTCTGGGCTCTGCCATGAGACAATGGAGTTTTTGTTTGTTTTTTTGTTTTTTTCGAGACAAGGTTTCTCTGTGTAGTTTTTGGTGCCTGTCCTGGATCTCGCTCTGTAGACCAGGCTGGCCTCGAACTCACAGAGATCCGCCTGGCTCTGCCTCCCCAGTGCTGGGATTAAAGGCAGGCGCTACCACCAACCGGCCGAGACAATGGAGTTTTTAAAACAGAAGGGTAACTTTAATCTTAATTTCTCCGGTAATATTTTGCATGACTGTAGATGTACA